ATCTCTTGCTTGGAATCTCCATGTATTTGTTAGTAAGACTGTCCTATATATTGCTGTTGGTATGACATAAAAAGAGTAAGAGCATCAACAGTAAGCAAAGTCTACTTATGGAGGTCTTTCTATTTAAGAAACTGTCAACACAGGTGACTGCACTTCATTTATATTGCTGAAAGTAAACCTAACATTGTAATTTGTTGGTTTTTTTCTCTTTCATTTTTTTCAGTGCTTGGGAGATGGGAAGTAATGATAGCTGGCACCTGAACTAAGATATCTGTGTAGGCACTACCATCCCAGAACTTCAGGATGAATGGGGATATGCCTCATGTTCCCATCACTACTCTTGCAGGGATTGCTAGTCTTACCGACCGTAAGCACTCTTCGTTTTTTTTTTGGTCTTTAATATATTGCTGTTTACCTTTTTGGTGAATATTTGTATTTTCAAACTGTAAAAATATGAAACGCTACTTAGTAAAAAAAAATAAAAAATCTGATTTAAATTAGGCTTGGCATTTAAAAGATTACTTTTGTTGCAACTTAAATTTTTAACTTAACTTGTAAATAGAGTATTTTCAAATAAAATAACGCTAATTCTAACATTTAATAAAATGTAAGTTAAAAACAAAACAATGCAATCTGAAGTAAACCTGGCACTTAAATAATTCAGAATTAAATTAATGCGTCATAAACATATATTGGTAACATAAAAATAAAGAAGAAAGTAAGACGTCTTTAAATCATACATTCATCGAAAAAAAGATGTGAAATACGCTGTGCTTGTGAATATTCCTTCAATTATGTTAGAGTTGCTCTAAAATTTAGATGCTAATGAAAGTAAGCAGCTTGACCTATGAGGCCTCTTTCTTGATTGTACACCATGTAAAGGAAATGGATTATTATGATACTGTTGAAATTTGGAAAAACTTTCTAAGAGCAACTAAAGTTTACACCAAAATTGAATTTAATTTCCTAGCTTAAAAGCAAACAAACAGTGGACAACACAAACCAAAAAAAACCTGATATATTTGAGAAAAAAAAAATCTTGAAATATTTTTTGTGTTTTTCTGTTCTAAAATATCAAATTGAAAGATGCTACTTATATGAATCTATGTGTATGTGTATTTGTTTATGCAAGCTAAATAGTGGACCATCAGGTTGCAAATCATGAGTTTCCAAACTATGGAAAATTTTCTAGAGTTCAGTCTTTACACACGAGATTCTAAGAAAAGTCAATATATGTAACTGGTAGAAATCACTGCTCAAACTTCTTCAGACAAGGGGTTTTGAAACACTGAACTAGTTTAGATGGTATTAGACCCTGTGCTTAGGTGTGTTTATGCTTTTTATCTGTAATTTTCATGTAAAGCTTAGAGACTTGGGAGAAGGTAAAAAACTATAACTTGTGACTACTCTCCCCCAACCCTTTTTTTTTCCCTGTTGTGGAAAGAAGCAGCTGGAATCACATACAGTGATTATATATGTTATATTGGAAAAATAAAATAGCGTAAACAACTGGCGTCTCCCCCCTTTTTTTTTTTCTTCAGAATTTCCAAGTATAAAATAAAGGACCTGAAAGAATGTATTTGATTTATGTTGTTCTTTTTTGAAGCTATTTCTAATTGATCAGTTGAAACCTTCATCCTGGAGTTTTAATAAGTTTGAGTAGTGAGGTTCAGCTTGTTTTCTTGGACCCATTTGAGAATTTTTTGTTCTTTTTAGCTTACTCTTCTTGTACCAATCACCTGGTCATGGCCTGTGGTTTGATGTACTTCTTTCTTTGACTTATAGATGTAAGAACGCCCCTGTAAATGTTCTGTGCTTATTTGTAATCCAATTGAAACATTGATGTTTTACATGAAGTTCAATAAAATTCAATAAGTTCAATCCTTTTTTCCCATGCTTGTGAATAGATATTTTCAGTGAATTACCATAGTCATACCAACCAGCATCACTTGCCTTCTCTTGAGAAGACAACTTATATAGAAATTAATACAACAGAAGAATAAACTGAGAATGTAATAATGACTCTATATTTTAAATGTATTTGTCAGGATTGTTTGTTTTCTTAATTATATGAGGTAGTAATATTTGTATGACTGTGTTCTGCGCAATGTTTCTGAACTTCTTTCACTCCTCTGATAACAGTTTTGAACCAGCTGCCTCTTCCATCACCTTTACCTGCCACAACAACAAAGAGCCTGCTTTTCAATGGACGAATAGCTGAAGAAGTGAACTGCCTTCTGGCTTGCAGGGATGAAAATCTGGTTTCACAGCTCATCCACAGTCTCAATCAGGTGTCAACAGATCACATGTATGTATTTTGTACTTCAGTTTTATGCCATCACTGTCCTTGTTCCTTGAGATTAAAATGAACTAAGGTTGAGAAGGATGTGAGAATCTGAGCAATGGAATTGGGAATTTTTTATTAGGTTTGTTTAGCAGATTACTACTGTGTAAGACTCAATTGTTTCATGTAACTCTGAAATATAACTTCATTCTTTTTTGTTGTTTTTCTTTTTGATCTTCATAATGCTGGTTGTGAGTTCAAATTTGATGGTTTTGACTGTTCTTGACATATTTATGTTCCAGTTAGCTGAATAATGTAAAATATATAAATTATATACCTGACATTACCAAAAGAAGAGTTTTGGTGATGACCATGTAAGATCCATGTGAATTCTGATTTAGTTATGGAAACTTTGACATTAAAAGAATCAGCAAATGTCTGCTTTTTGTTTATGAGTATTTTGTCTCTTTTTGCATTATGTCCTTTGAATTGCTTTCTGTTGACAGCATTGGTTTTTTCCTACATATTGATCAAGTTATCTTGATCAAATGGAAGTAGCTATTAAAAGTCTTCAAAACAAAGAATAAAATCACAGATGTATTTACAGAAAATGTATTACGTTTTCAATAGTTCAGAGGGAATTGATATGCCATTTTCCCTTTTTAAAATAAAATATATAACCTGAATGTTATGCTTTCACGCATACCTTATTTTCACTCTTAGACTCCTTTCTTGATGTTACCCAAAGAGTTCTTTATCAGTGGAGAAGATCAAGATATGAAAGTCCTAAGGCCTAAGATACTTTCATAAGTGTTTGAAACTGGCAACCATGGATATATGTGTATTAATTTTGAAGAGCCTACAGCTAGTGTTTCTTCTGATGTTTAACAAAGAGATAAAAAAATAATAATAGTAATTAAGACAGGGAGGGACAGTGCTCTGCAGACTTGGTTTCTTCGTTCTTTATTTTAGCAATACATTTTTTTCTTTCATTTTAGCATATTTTTTTAAAATCTGACAATCATTTCTTAAAATTTGAAAATGCGTTTCATTCTTAATTTGCTTTCTTCCACAATCACAGAGAATTGAAAGATAACCTTGGCAGTGATGATCCAGAGGGTGATACACCAGTTTTGCTGCAAGCTATCCTGGCAAGGAATCCTAATGTTTTCAGGGAGAAAAGCATGCAAAACAGATATGGGGTACAAAGTGGTAAGAATTTTCTATTATTTACTGATTGTATTTGTGTTCTATATATTTAAGGGCCTAATACTAGCAACAAACACATATGGACTACATCTGTGGTATCTATGCCTTACTATGTGTTTGATAATAATAGTGAGTTATGTATCTTGACATCTTCTAAAAGAGATTGTATTAATGTAAGCAGTGAAATAACTATTGGGAATTTTGGAAAATAATGTTTTATTTCCCTGCTGAAAGCTAAGCTGTGGGATACTTGATTGGATTTGATTTTAAAATAATTTACAGAATCACAGAATCACCCGGGTTGGAAGGGACCTCAAGGATCATGTAGTTCCAACCCCCCTGCCTAGCAGGGCCACCAAACGCACACATTCAGATCAGGTTGCCCAGGACCCCATCCAACCTGGCCTTGAACACGTCCAAGGACGGGGCATCCACAACCTCCCTGGGCAGCCCGTTCCAGGGCCTAACCACTCTCCTTGTGAAGAACTTCCCCCTAACATCCAACCTAAATCTTCCCTCCTTCAACTTGGATCCATTTCCCCTAGTCCTGCTGTTGTCAGCCCTTTTGAAGAGTTTACTCCCCTCCTGGGTGTAGGTTCCCTTCAGGTATTGATAGGCTGCAATGAGGTCACCCCGCAGCCTTCTCTTCTCCAGGCTGAACAAGCCCAACTCCCTCAGCCTGTCCTCATAGGGGAGGTGCTCCAGCCCCCTGATCATCTTAGTCGCCCTCCTCTGGACCCTTTCCAAGATCTCTATGTCTTTCTTGTACTGAGGGCTCCACACCTGGACACAGTACTCCAGATGAGGCCTCACAAGAGCCGAGTAGAGAGGGACAATCACCTCCCTCTCCCTGCTGACCACCCCTCTCCTGATGGAGCCCAGGATCCCATTTGCCTTTCGAGCTGCCAGAGCGCACTGCTGGCTCATGTTCAGTCTCTCGTCCATCAGGACCCCGAGGTCCTTCTCTGCCGAGCTGCTCTCAAGGACCACTCCTCCCAGCCTGTACGGGTGCCTGGGGTTCTTCCGGCCCAAATGCAAAACCTTGCACTTTGCCGTGTTGAACCTCATTAGGTTCACCCGAGCCCAGCCCTCCAGCCTGTCGAGGTCCCTCTGAATGGCATCCCTTCCTTCCACCGTATCAACCGCACCACTCAGCTTGGTGTCGTCAGCAAACTTGCTGAGGGTGCACTCAATTCCCTCATCGATGTCCTTAATAAAGATGTTAAAGAGCACCGGTCCCAAGACAGACCCTTGGGGGACACCACTTGTTACCGGCCTCCACCTGGACATAGAGCCACTGACCACCACCCTCTGTCTGCGGCCTTTCAACCAATTGCTTATCCATCGGGTCGTCCACCCATCAAATCCACTTCCCTCCAATTTGGAGATGAGGATGTGTTGGGGGACCATGTCAAAGGCCTTGCTCAGGTCCAGGTAAATGACATCGGTCGCCTTCCCTTCGTCCACCAATGCCATCACTCCATCATAGAAGGCCACAAGATTATTTGAATTTTTTTCTGGCTAAGTTTGTATATTTATCTTAGTAAATAACTGAAGTTGGAAAAATACACCTTGATTTTACTGAAGATCTGTACACTTACAGTTAGTCTTTAATACCAATGGTTCTTCAGTAGTTCAGGTTTAAAGAATAAGGGTAAGTGAACCATATGTAAAAGCTTTTCTCTGCTACCGTTCTTCTCAGCATTTTCTGTTGCCATACAGGTTTTACTATCTTTTAAGCTGACTCTCTTCTGCAGTTTGTATTGGTAAATAGCAAAGATTGGAGGAGACACCAAGCAAAGGAGACAGGTTCTGGATTTAGATCTGAAGACTTTTTCTCTTGCACTTGAAGTCTGTTCTTTAAGTAGCGAACTATATATTGATTAGGAGAATTTCCATTTTTTGCAGTATGCAAATATTGCTAGCATTTTAGAAATACTGATGGAAGTGTCATAAGAGTCTACAGAAGATGGAAAGTGTGAGGTATTTTGGAAAGGAAAAAATGTTAAATGATTAAGTTCATTCACCTAGATGAATAAAAAGCCACATAAGATTTGGAAAGGACTTGTGTAGGACAGAACACTAGAGAATGGAGAAATTTTATAGAATGAAAAATAGGCCTGATTCTAAATATTTAAAACTTCACTGGTCCTGAAATTTAAGGTCCGATAGCAATTACTGTATGCTGTGTTCAGTGGTAAATGTGGTAGAATGATTCTTCCAGCTGTGTGAATTGTTGCAATTGTCCTACCCATTTACAGACTGGTTCCACAAAGAGACTCTGCCTCAGTGTTTTGCACCAGTTTTGTAGGGTAAAATAAATTTTTTCCAGTGGAAAAGTAAGATAATAGTTTTGGAATTCTTTCTTCCACAAGAAGATTTTGAAAGAAAGAAAACAAACTCAGATACTTTCCTTCTAAGTTTTGCTAATGGTGTTGTTTAGAAGGAAGGTATTGATACAGAATTAAAAATGATGTAAAATGAAATACAAAAGAACAGGTGATGCTATTTAATAATGTTAACACAATGTTTTAAAGAACCAGAAGAGACCAGAACTGAAAAATTCTAGATCATTCCATTGTATTACATACTTTGAATTCATTTATCATTTGAAGCATTGAAGTCTAAGTGTGAAACTGGAAAACTAGAGAGAAAGAAGGAAGAAAGTGAAGCATACAGTAAAAAAGCTATTTTGAGATGAAGATGATCTTGGGAGGAATGTTTGAAAAAGATGGACAAAGCGTTACATCAGTTTCAATGGGAAGGGGTACTCTCTTATCTTGAAATATATGGGTCTTTAAGATAAGTTCAGGAAAATTTTGATAGTCTTATTAAATGTTAATATATCCCATTCAGATATCCAAGGTGAAAGTGCTTGATATAGTTTTATTGGGTCAGGAAAGATTTACTTTTCTTCTGTTTTGTGTGCAGGTTTTGTAATCTCTATTCAAAGTTTGTAGAACAGTTTGGTAGAGATTTTGTGGAATGCTTTTTTTTCAGCTAGAAGACCTTACTTTTTTTTCATAGAATCATAGAATCATAGAATCACCAAGGTTGGAAAAGACCTGAAAGCTCATCCAGTCCAACCGTTCACCTATTCCCAATAGCTCCCACTAAACCATGTCCCTCAACACAACATCCAGTCTTTCCTTGAACACCCCCAGGCTCGGTGACTCCACCACCTCCCTGGGCAGTCCATTCCAGTGCCTGACCACCCTTTATGAAAAGCAATACTTCCTCATGTCCAGCCTGAATCTCCCCTGCCGTAGCTTGAAGCCATTCCCCCTGGTCCTATCACTAATGACATGAGAGAAGAGGCCGACCCCCAGCTCACTACAACCTCCCTTCAGGAAGTTATAGAGAGCAATGAGGTCTCCCCTGAGCCTCGTCCAGGCTGAACATTCCCAGCTCCTTCAGCCTCTCCTCATATGGCCTGTGTTCCAGACCCCTCACCAGCTTTGTTGCCCTCCTTTGAACACGTTCCAGGGCCTCAATACCTTAGAATCATAGAATCATAGAATCACCAAGGTTGGAAAAGACCTAAAAGATCATCCAGTCCAACCGTTCACCTATTCCCAATAGCTCCTACTAAACCATGTCCCTCAATACAACATCCAGTCTTTCCTTGAACACCCCCAGGCTCGGTGACTCCACCACCTCCCTGGGCAGTCCGTTCCAGTGCCTGACCACCCTTTCCGAAAAGTAATACTTCCTAATGTCCAGCCTGAATCTCCCCTGCCGTAGCTTGAAACCATTCCCCCTGGTCCTATCACTAATGACACGAGAGAAGAGGCCGACCCCCAGCTCACTACAGCTTCCCTACAGGAAGTTACAGAGAGCAATGAGGTCTCCCCTGAGCCTCCTCTTCTCCAGGCTGAACATTCCCAGCTCCTTCAGCCTCTCCTCATATGGCCTGTGCTCCAGACCCCTCACCAGCTTTGTTGCCCTCCTTTGAACACGTTCCAGGGCCTCAATATCTTTCTTGCAGTGAGGGGCCCAAAACTGGACACAGCACTCGAGGTGCGGCCTCACCAGTGCTGAATATAGGGGAACAATCACCTCTCTGCTCCTGCTTGCAACACTGTTTCTGATGCAAGCCAGGATGCCATTGGCCTTCTTGGCCACCTGGGCACACTGTCGGCTCATGTTCAGCCGAGCATCAATCAATACCCCCAGGTCCATTTCCTCTACACAGTCCTCCAGCCACACCGCCCCAAGCCTGTAGCGTCACCTGGGGTTGTTGTGGCCGAAGTGCAGGACCCGGCATTTGGCCTTGTTGAAACTCATCCCATTGGCTTCAGCCCAACTCTCCAGCCTGTCCAGATCCCTCTGTAGGGCCTCGCTACCCCCAGGCAGATCCACACTTCCAGCCAATTTGGTGTCATCTGTGAATTTACTGAGGGTGCACTCGATGCCCTCATCGAGGTCATCAATAAAGATATTGAAGAGGACAGGCCCCAGCACCGACCCCTGGGGAACACCACTCACAACCGGTCACCAGCTGGATTTGACTCCATTCACCACCACTCTCTGGGCCCGGTCCTTCAGCCAGCTCCTCACCCAGCCAAGAGTGCATCCATCCAAGCCTCGGGCTGCCAGCTTCTGCAGGAGAATGCTGTGGGAGACAGTGTCAAAGGCTTTGCTGAAGTCTAGGTAGACCACATCAACAGCCTTTCCCTCATCCACCAGATGGGTCACTAGATCATAGAAGGAGATCAGGTTGGTCAAACAGGACCTGCCCTTCATGAACCCATGCTGGCTAGGCCTGATCCCCCGCTCATCCTGCACATGCCACATGATCTCCCTCAAGACAATCTGCTCCATAACCTTCCCTGGCACTGAGGTCAGGCTAACAGGCCTGTAGTTCCCCGGATCCTCCTTATGACCTTTCTTGAAAATGGGAGTCACATCGGCAAGCCTCCAGTCTTCTGGGACCTCACCAGTCAACAAGGAGCGCTGACAGATGATGGAAAGCGGCTTGGCTCTCACCTCCGCCAGTTTCCTCAGCACTCTCGGGTGGATCTCATCTGGCCCCATCGACTTGTGACAGTCCAGCTGGAGCAGTAGGTCTCTGACTGTTTCTTTCAGAATCACAGGAGGGTTAGTGTGCTCCCCAGCTGAGATTACCAGATCAGAGAGAGGAGTATCCTGAGGATAACTGGCCTGACTTTTAAAGACAGACGTAAAGAAGGCATTCATAACCTCCGCCTTTTCCTTATCCTCAGTGGTCACATTCCCAGCCTCATCCAGCAAAGAGTGGATATTCTCCTTTGTCCTCCTCTTACTGTTAATGTATTTATAAAAGAGTTTCTTATTCCTTTTCACCCCAGCGGCTAGGTTAAATTCAAGCTGGGCTTTTGCTTTTCTGATTTCACCTCTACACATCCTAACAACTTCCTTGTATTCATTCTGAGTGGCCTGTCCCTCTTTCCACAGGCAGTAGATTCTCTTTTTCTCCCGGAGCCTCAAGAACAGCTCCCTGTTCATCCACACCGGTCTTCTTCCCCGCCGGCTCATTTTGCAGCTCAGGGGGACTGCCTGCTCCTGCGCCCTTAAGACTTCCTTCTTGAAGAGCAACCAGCTCTCTTGGACCCCTTTACTCGCTAAGACTGAATGCCAGGGGACTCCCCCTATTAGTCCCTTGAACAATTCAAAGTCCGCCCTCCTGAAGTCCAAGGTAGCAATTTTACTTCTCCCCCTCCAGGCTCCACCATGAATCACGAAGTCTATCATTTCATGGTCACTCTATCCAAGACAGCCTCCAACCTCCAATATTTTCTAATATTTCAAGCTCATCTATTGTAATTTCTTCACTGTCTTCTTTTTAAATACTGTCTTTCTACCTTCTGTTGAATCCAGTGTGCAGAAAAATCAGTGCTAGGTGCTGCGATCCAGCATTTGTAGTGCATGCAATTGAGAAAAAGTGAACAAAGGAGGACACCCCGACATCTGGATTACCTTCAGTCTTAGGGTGGCCTCAGCTCTTTGTTCACTTCAGTCAGATTCATCATTAGCATAGACAAAGTGAACTCAAGTTAATTTGTTCCCACCTTCTTTTCTTATGTAGGAACAGAAAAACCATGTGGCTAAAACATGGAGTAAAATTATTGGTTCAGTACAATTTTTCAAAGAAAGCAAAAGCTCCAGAAAGCTAGACAGGTTTTCAGTTTCCATAAATACAAGCTAAAGCACAAGCAATTTTTTGCTGTTTTTCTTTTTTTCCCCCCAAAATTCATTTTCATCTGTAGTTCAACAAGTCTAGAGCTAGAAATGATATTCTTTGTGATTAACAAATATGATGTGGCAACAGAGAGAGAAGCCTGAAGACAGGAGGAAAGCAAATGTCACTTCTATCTTCAAAAAAAGCAGGAAGGATGATCCAGGAAACTATAGGCTTACCAAGGTCTTCAGGAAGATGATGGGAACAGGCACCTGAAGGAGAAGAAAATTATCAGGAGTACTCAGCATGGATTCACCAAAAGGAAGCCACACTTCATCAATCTGATAAAAATCTATACGGAATTGACCAGCATGGTGGATAAGGGTGGAGTACAGGATATTATCTTCCTGAACTTCAGTAAGGCTTTTGACACACTACCCCCATCAGATTCTTACAGAAAAGCTGATGAACTATGGGCTGGATGAACAAACAGTAAAGTGGATTGAGATCTGGGCCCATAGTGTAATCGTCAGTGGTGAAAAGTCAGTTTAGAGATCTGTTAGGAGTGGAGTACCCCAATGGTTAAAAGTGCTTGTAGTCCTGACTAACATCTTCGTTAACAGTGTGGACGATGGGGTAAAGTGCACTCTCAGCATATTCACAGATGACATGAGACTCATTGGAGTGGCTGATTCATCAGAAGGCCCTGCTGCCATCTGGAGAGACCTGGACAGGCTGGAGAAGTGGGCTGACAAGTGTCATGGAATTCAATAGGGAGAAATGCAACATCCTGCAGCTGAGAAGAAACAACCGCAGGCACCAGTGCATGCTGTGGAAATCCGAATCAAAGGCAGCTCTACAGAAAGGGACCTAGCAATCCTGGTGGACACTGAGTTGAACAGGAGTCAGCAATGTGTTCTTGCTCCTAAGGAAGGCTCGTGGTACTCTTAGCTGCAATAGGCAAAATATCTTAGTTGAGATATCACTCACTCAGCAGAGTGATCCTTCCTCTCTGCTCAGTACAGTGAGACCACGTTTGGAGTCCTCTGTTGAATCTTGGAACCCTATGCAAAAGAAACATGGACACACTGGAAAGTGTCCAACAGAAGGCTACTAAGATGATTAAGGAACTGCAGCATCTCTCCCATGAGAAGAGGCTTGGAAAGCTGAACTGTTCAGTCCAGAGTAGAGCAAGCCCAGGGGATCTCATCAGTGTTGAATAAAGACTTGAAAGGAACGTTCAAAGAAGACAGAACCAGGCTCCTTTCAGTGTGTCTTGTGTCAGGATAAGAGGCAGTAGGCACAAACTGGAACAGAATTTCCTTCTAAGTATCACAAAGCACTGTGTGAGTGACTGAACTCTAGCCCAGAGAGGTTGAGGGAGCTTCCCTGGGGATCTTCAAGGCTGCCTGGACCTGGTCCTAGGTATGGCACCCTTCTCTGGGTGTCCCTGCTTGAGCAGGGCTTGGGACTTGGGCTAGAAAGGCCCTTTCCACCTCAACCATTCTGTTATTTTAAGAATGCAAGAATGAGATAGTATGTAGTATGTGGATACCTTTTTTTTTTTTTTTTTTTTCCTTATCCTCTTTTCCCTCTCAGTTCTTTGTGCATTTTGACAGATATTTGGAAGCTGAATTAGTGTTTTGCTGAAGGCTGGTATCCTTAGCACAGCTTAAGCTTCTAAAGGTCTTAAAATTCATAATATAACTTGTTCATTTTTGAGGGCTTAAAATATTTATGTCTTTCAAAAAGTTTGTGTTGATTAGATTTTTTTTTCCATTTATACAATAAAGCAAGCAGAGATGCATGTAGGAAAACATTGCAGAAGAATGTTATCAATTGAGTGTCCGTCTTACTGAAAAATCACCAGTAGGTCAGCATTCACAGATTAAACATGCATGATGCTATAAAATAGTTTAGTCATAGTTAACAAGCATTTTATGTGAGCCACTTCTTTGTGTAGTATATTCTTTGACAGTTACTTGAAGTGCAAAAATTGAAATTATTTTTATTACTTTTCTCTAAGCAAAAAAAGTAGTCAAAATCAGAAGTGTATGTTAAAGAAACTTCTTATAAGAATGTTATTATTGGGATGATAGTTTCTCAGTACTTTCTCAGTCTTGCTAATATTCTTATAAAAGAAGTTTAAAATTCTAGGTTTGGTCCTGCATGTTTCAACTTAATTGGTGACAAGACTTGATTTTTTATGTATCTTTCTGGATTTCTCTGTCACAGAATCACAGAATGGTTCAGTTTGGGAGGGACCTTTAAAGACATCTGATTCTCATGACCCAGCCATGGTTATGCTTGCCCTGACTTAGTGATTGGGTTGCGCAGTGCTCAACCTGGCCTTGAGTACCTCCGGGGATGGGGCATCCACTGCTTCTCTTGGTAGCCTGGTCCAGTACCTCACCACCCTCACAGTTCAAATAGTTTGGCCAAAAAAAAAAAAAACAAGAGAGAAAAATTATAACTACCTGATGACTAATATATCTTTGTTAGTGTCTTCAATACATGAACTGGGCACTGAGGGATCTTCCTCAAATAGAAAATCACTGTACAGGAAATGCCCAGGGAATATTTTGCACATTCCTTTCTGTAGTTTGTACCTGTGGACAGGAGTTTATTTCTCATCTCCTCTGTAAGAGACAGCCAGTGTTCATTGAAGCAAGCTTTGCAGGAGTTGAGGCATTCTCTGCCGTTACTCAGGATAATGAAATAACATTTCTACTGAAGTATGAAGATATCTGATTTTTTTCAGCACAACTAGGGATTTTCACTCCTAATCCAGGCTAGTTTAAATGTGTTAATTTGGTTGGAATGCAGCACTTCACACCTACTGGGGAGGTGATAACGGCTGCATTCTTGAGGGATTATCATATCTCATCTCTGTTGGGAAAAAAAAGAAAGGAAAAAGGTTGAGAGGGAAGATTTCTGAAAAAAGCTTTTCTTCTGTAAATATTGCAGTCATTGAAATCAGTGATAGTAGGCTGGATGGCCAATCTAAACCAGGCTCTGAGCAACCAGATCTAGCTTCGGATGTCCCTTCATTGCCAGGGATTTGGAGTAGATGACCTTTAAGGGTCCTTTCCAACTCTAAGGCTTCTAAGATTCTCTGATTCTATGACAGTACTTGGAGGATTGATAAGATAGAATCTAAGCATTCTATGAAATATTAAGTATAAAATATTGCAACACTGACCCGTTTCTGTGAGTCACTTGTTATGGCTTCCTAAACCTTAGTTTGTACATGGATTCTGATTCTGTTTAAATATGAGATATTTTATTCTGTCATTAAGATCACGTGATTAAAGATCATAAAGGTTTTAATGTGCTTTCACTGTTTTAACTTCCAGTGTCATGTGGT